TCTTTCGGGTGGCTGATGGTGGATGTGACTGTGTGCAGGCGCCTGTGGCGGCCATGGTCGGACGCTGCTGGGACGTTTTCCAGCCGCTCCTGTTTGGTCTGATTGGAGCCGAGATCTCCGTCACGTCCCTCAACCCCGGCACTGTGGGTAAGAACGCTCAGGTTACGGCGGCCATGTTTCTGCTCCGCCAAGCATCGCCTCACTTCCTGTTTCCTGTCAGGGCTGGGCGTGGCCTGCATCCTGATTGGTCTGCTGGTCCGTTTTGTCGTCACCTTCCTGCTGGTCCAGTTCGGAGGTTTCACCCTGAAGGAGAAGCTCTTCATCGCTGTGGCCTGGATGCCTAAAGCCACCGTGCAGGTCTGATGGCGTCTGACCAGGTCATTGACCTCTGACCTCTGGGCCGAGGCTCTGCTGGGGCTGATGGTTTCATGTCCTCATGTTCCTGCTGTCATATCATCATAAAACAGTCAATGCAGCCAAATAAACCAGAAGATTTAAATATTAAAATACATTTTATCGTTGGAGAGAAACCAGATGAGATTCAGATCAATCAACTGATCTATTGATCAACTGATCGACTGAGAAACTTTTACTGCAGACAGAAAATACCAGACATATTTCTCATGATAAATATTTAAAGATATTTTCATGATGTGTTGATGATGAACCTGAAAGTGGGAACATCTGGACCAGCTGGAGTGACCTTGACCTCTTGACCCCCACACAGATCCAGTCTGGTCCACCAGAACCATCAGAACCAGTCTGGTCCACCAGAACTCCCAGACTAACCGTCCCTCTGTCCTCCAGGCGGCGATCGGCTCCAAGGCGTTGGACTTGGCGCGGGACGAAGGCGATGAGACTTTGATCCAGTTTGGTCTGGACGTGCTAACGCTAGCGGTGCTAGCTATCCTGATCACGGCTCCCATCGGGGCGCTGGGGATTGGACTGGCCGGGCCGCGCCTCCTGGCCCGACAGGTCAAAGGTCAGCTCAGAGTCTGGAGGTTTTTATTGAGCCCAAATGATGACCCGGTCCATTAGTTCTGGTTTGACTGAACTTTGGTCAGAACTAAAAACCCTTTGAGTGAAACGTCTTTCAGAACTAGCAGAAGGTCCAATCGGGTCGTATTCAGCTGGGATGAGACCAACTGGAACCCATTGATTATGTACCAAACAGTGGGGCTAGCGCTGATGCTAATAGCACAGCTAAGTTTGTTTAGATTTTTTTATAAATGTTTGGTGCGCTGACTTTATGCTAAATTCATTTTAGATCAATTCTAAAGTTTTCTACGCTGTTTTGAAAATGTTCAGTTCCACTTCCTGTCCTCAGTTTATCCACCCCACGACGCTTATTCTGTTCCCAGAATGCATTTCTGTTCACAATCCGGCGCATGTTGGGTAGCTAATGAATTTAGCTTCTGCTAAGTGTCATACTGGTACAGAGGATTAGCGTTAGCATCTGTCAAACAACATGTTAATATACTGCTTTAACGTTAGCTGAACTAATATTTATGATTAGCGCTTTAGGGTTAGCATAGCTAACCTTTTAGCTAGCGGTGCCCACCTCTGCATGCTGTTTGCAGGGTCCTGACCTCTGACCTCTGACCATCAGTTCCTCTGAATCAACCAGTGAATCTTGTTTTCTCTGAACCAGCAGGTGAGACGGAGACAGAAGCCCCGCCCACCATCCCCGACCCACCTGCTGAGGAAAAGAGTAACATGATCATTGAGAGCAGACTGTGATGGTTCTGACCCGATCAGAACCAGCCCAGTTCTCCCAGCGGGACAAACCCAACTGGTTCATGAACATGAAGTTTTGACATGTTAGAAAAAACAGAAACAAAATGGCTGAAAATGAAAAGAAGCTTCTTCATTTCCTGGATGTTTTCTTCTGCTTGATTGTTTTATATGAAGGTTTATTCTGCGTCAGTGAAAAGTCACTAATTCTTTGATCACATTTAGTGATTATTATTGGATGTTTTTAACTTTATTATTTCTGCTGAGGATAGAAACAAACTTTATTACACAGAGGAAACATTTGGTGTTTTATTGTGGCGGGAACTACAGGAAGTGGAGTCGCTCTGCGGTCAGGATGAGGCTGAAGCTGAAGACATCTACAGGAACCGATTCTGGGTCAGAACCGCTCCGTCCACCAGACCAACAGCTCCTCATTTAAAACACCTTGAAAGAGTTCAGAAGCGGGTCAAACTGGTTCCATGTTCAGAAACCCAGGCAGGAGTTCTGGACTGGTTGAAACGTTTCCTTCAAAATAAATCTGATTTTAATGTAACTTGATTTCACCAACATGACTCAGGTTGGTCCAGATGTTCGGACCTGCAGTTCTGTCCCTCAGCCTGCACCGGGCCCGGTTCCACCAGAACCGGCTCCTCCTGACAGGTTCTGTGTGTTTCTGTTAGAAACCAAAGTTCTGCTTTCGTAACCAGAACTGGACCTTCTGATGCTGCAGCAATAAAAACTGAATTTAATCTAATCTGACCAGTTATTTTTTACAGTGCAACATCTGTAATCTGATCTGTTTAATGATTAAATCAGATTATAACTTAATATTCATAACCGAACAGAAACGATGCTCAGACAACTCTGTGGGGTCGGGTCGGGTCGGGGTCGGGTCGGAGGTCGTGTCCTCAGGAAGAGTCGAGGTCAGAGGTCAAATGGAGTCAGATTCTTCATCCTTCCATTGAATCCAGACCAGATCATCAGGTTGGTACCCATGAAGTTCTGCAGCCTACAGAACCGGGTCGGGCTGCGGTTTGGACCGGACCGTCTCCTGCAGCTCATCACATCCTTCATTACTCTGTAAGCATCAGAACCGAACAGAACCGAACGGAACCGTCGGACCTCCAGCCTCTCGTCTCAGTTTCCTGTTTTTGCTGTTAACTCAGATTTTCCACAGCGACGGTTTCAGAAACCACAGAACCGCTCAGAACCCGTCTGCTCTGACCTGCTGACCCTGACCTGGTTCTGGTTCTGCAGCCGAACCCTATCTGGACCTGAACCCGGCTCTGCAGGGAGAGGAGCTGCTTCACCTCCATCAGAACCAAAACCGGCAGCAGGAACCGGCCAGAGTCCGACTGAGAACCAGAACCTCCGAGAGCTGAAACCAGTTTGAACTGACATCCAGTTTCACCTCATAGCTGAAGGTTCTGGTCTGAGTTACCAGAACCAGAACTGGGAAAATGGGAAAGTCTCACCTGTTGACTTCTGGAGGCTCCAACACCTGCAGCCCAATGGGACGAGTGTTAAAATGTATTATTATTATTATTATTGTTATTATTATTGTTGTTGTTATTGTTAATATTATTATTATTATTATTGTTGTTGTTATTATTGTTATTATTATTATTATTATTGTTATTATTATTATTGTTATTATTATTATTATTATTGTTATTATTATTATTATTATTATTGTTATTATTATTATTATTATTATTATTGTGATTATTGTTATTATTATTATTATTGTTGTTGTTGTTATTATTATTATTATTATTATTGTTGTTATTATTATTATTATTATTGTTATTATTATTATTATTATTGTTATTATTATTATTATTATTATTGTTGTTGTTGTTATTATTATTATTGTTGTTGTTATTATTATTATTATTGTTATTATTATTATTATTATTATTGTTATTATTATTATTGTTATTATTATTATTATTATTATTATTATCATCACTACTGGCTGATTGTTTTATTGTTTCCATGAAGAGTGCAATATTTCTGCCAGGTTTGCCTCCTGATGCGTTTCTATCATGAACATCAGTGAGCCGAGCTCTCAGCCCTGAGGGACTCCAGGTTCCATCAGTGAACATCTTCAGCTGGTGGTTTCTCTGTGAGCTCTGACAACGTTCTGAGTTTCCTCGTAGTTTCACAGAAACGTTGGTTTGTTTGATTCCTGCTATTGTTCATCAGATGATGTTGGTGTGTAAAGCAGCAGTTTGGTGCCAACAGGCTGAATCTGTCGTGCGTCTCGTTGCTCTCACATCCTCCAGCTGCGGTTTGGCTCAACAGGATGTTCTTAACTTCGCTCTGAGACGGACAGAACGGCTTCAGTCTGCAGACGAGATGAACGCCGCCGCACCGCTGCCGCTGCTGCTCTGGGAGTTCAAAACATCCGGAGCTTTTCTCAGCCCAGGAGAAAAAACCTTTCAGGAACATTTCAGGGAGGTTTCAGGAACATTTCAGGAACATTTCAGGAACATTTCAGGGAGGTTTCAGGAACATTTCAGGAAGTTTTCAGGAACATTTCAGGAACATTTCAGGAACATTTCAGGAACATTTCAGGGAGGTTTCAGGAACATTTCAGGAAGTTTTCAGGAACATTTCAGGGAGGTTTCAGGAACATTTCAGGAACATTTCAGGAACATTTCAGGGAGGTTTCAGGAACATTTCAGGAAGTTTTCAGGAACATTTCAGGAACATTTCAGGAACATTTCAGGGAGGTTTCAGGAACATTTCAGGAAGTTTTCAGGAACATTTCAGGGAGGTTTCAGGAACATTTCAGGGAGGTTTCAGGAACATTTCAGGAAGTTTTCAGGAACATTTCAGGGAGGTTTCAGGAACATTTCAGGAAGTTTTCAGGAACATTTCAGGAACATTTCAGGAACATTTCAGGGAGGTTTCAGGAACATTTCAGGAAGTTTTCAGGAACATTTCAGGAACATTTCAGGAACATTTCAGGGAGGTTTCAGGAACATTTCAGGAACATTTCAGGAACATTTCAGGGAGGTTTCAGGAACATTTCAGGAAGTTTTCAGGAACATTTCAGGAACATTTCAGGGAGGTTTCAGGAACATTTCAGGGAGGTTTCAGGAACATTTCAGGGAGGTTTCAGGGTAACCTGTTGCGGCTTCTCGTGTTTCCACAGATTTATCTCTGAGCTTCAGCTGCTGCCAGACGGTTTCCTGCCACGGTGAGTCCAACAGAACCGGCCTCAGAAACAACCTGTTTACTGCTGAGTCATCAGAGTTAGAATGAGCAGAACCACCACCAACACATCCTGTCTGGACCCGATTCAGACAGGATGTTCTGACAGGTTCAGAACCTTCTAATGCAGACCTGGGCATTGTATGGCCCGCGGGCCACATACATCCTGTCTAAGGTTAATTGGAAATTTCAAAATAAACATATTTTCTAATTTCACCTCGTGAATGGACTAAAGCTGCTTTGCTTTTATTTTGAAGTTTTTATTTACGTACATAATGACGCATCAGGACGCATGCATGATTGGATCGTTGTCACAAGCAGGTCACCGCACTCCTTTAGCCCTGAGAAATGTCTGCTCCTGCTAAAAACAGAAGGCTAAAGGCCGAACGCAGAGTTTCAACAGAAATTGGAAAGCTAAGTATTTATTTACGGAAGTCAGAGGTAAAGGTGTGTGTTTAGTTTGCGGGGAGCAGGTCGCCGTGTTTAAGGACTACAATTTGAATCGGCATTACGAGACGAAACACGCGGAGAACTACAGAAACTTGAACGATGCTGAAAGGGCGCGGGCATCGGAAGCTTTGCTAGCTAAGCTACAAAAGCAGCAAGGCGTTTTTACCGAGCTTCACACATCCAGGGATGCAGCAACCAAGACCAGCTTTGGTCCCACAAAATCGCTAAAAACAGTAAGCCGTTCTCGGAGGGGGAGCTTGGTGGACTCTGCAGCACTAATATGCCCTCAACAAAAAGAAGCATTTGAGCAAATCCCGCTGTCCAGGCGAACCGTGACAGGAAGGATCGAGGACATTGCGGGGAATCTGGAGCTCCAGCTGCAACGCGAAGTGGCAAGTTTGGACTTTTTCTCCTTGGCTTTGGACAAGAGCTGTGATGTCCGCGACACAGCACAGTCACTCATATTTATCCGTGGGATAACGTCGGACTTCAAGATTACGGAGGAGCTGGCAGCAATGCGGTCGATGAGAGGAGCGACAACCGGGAGCAATCTGTTCCCGGAGGTCCATGCGTGCATGGACACACTGGGACTGAAATGGGACAGACTGGCAGGTGTCACAACGGACGGTTGTCCAAATCTTATGGGCAAAAATGTCGGACTTTTGAAACGTATTCAAGATAAAGTGACGGAAATCGATGCAGATCAAAAATTGGTATTTTTGCATTGTATTATACACCAACATGTGTTGTGCAAACCAGTGCTGAAAATTAACCATGTTATTGATGTTGTTACTAAAATTGTAAACTTCATCAGGGCACGGGCATTGAGTCACAGACAGTTTGTCACTTTGGAGGAGCATGAGGCTACCAGCCTGGGCAAAGTGCTAAAAACAGTGTGGGATCTGAAAGCAGAGATTGGAGAGTTTTGTGAGAAGAAAGGTAAAGACATCCCAGAGCTCTCAGACGAGGACTGGGTGACTGCACTGATGAATGAACATAAAATAAACATATTTTCTAATTTCACCTCGTGAATGGACTAAAGCTGCTTTGCTTTTATTTTGAAGTTTTTATTTACGTACATAAATACGTAAATAATTTATGTACGTAAATATTTACGTATTTATGTAAAAATACGTAAATATTTTTACAAATATTTTGTGCACAAGGCAAGGCCCTTTTTGTTGATGAAATGCACAGCCTGGTGAAGGCTTTTATGAGAAAGATGCAGTTTCTTTCAAGCCAACTGGAGAGCAACACTCACTCACATGCAAACCCTGAAAGAAGTCACACCATCAGCTGATTGCCTTCGCAGGTACTCATCTATGTTAGGAGCGTTGCACAGTGAGTTTTCAAGGCGATTTGAGGATCTCAGAAAAATTGAGGATGAAATGCACATGGTTTCTTCTGCATTTACCTGCAGTGTGGATAATGTACCCAGTGATGTTCAGCTGGAACTCATTGACCTGCAGTCTGATGCAATACTGGCAGAGCACTTTAAGTCAGGATCTCTGCTTGATTTCTACTCTTCTCTCAAGGAGGGGAACTTTCCAAACATTAGGAGACATGCTCAGAAGATGTTGGTTCTCTTTGGCTCTACCTACATATGTGAACAAACATTTTCAAGGATGAACTTTACAAAATCCAGGCACAGATCCTCTCTCACTGATGAGCATCTGTCAGCCGTGCTTCGCATCGCCACCTCAGACATTCAAGCTGACTTTGATGCACTCGCTAAAGCCCAGCAGAGACTAGATTTCTCTCACTGAACAAAAAAAGAACTTAGGAAATACCGAATAAAGTGGTTAGACTACAAAGACATGTAAGCATGTAAAGGCACCAACTAGCAGTGAACTGGAACACTTTCTTTGGAAGCCCTTTTCTCAATCAGTTCAATATGATCTATCTTGTTTGGTGGTGTCTTTAGTCTGTTAAGAACCTCTTTCCAACAGTATATAAAACTCAAATGTGTTTTGGAGTGAATGTGACTCAAAATGTTCACTAATATGAGTCACAAATTGTATAAAATGTTCACATTTTGTTTACCATTGATTTGGTTAATTTGACTGAATAAATTACTTTTTT